CAGATTCACTTAGCAATAGTGTTATTAGCTTACCGTAATAACTACAATGATTCACTTAACTACTATGACAAAAATGGTTGTAAAAATGAGGCAAAATTATCTTAACAATTCCCAAAAGTGCTTTTTCAGGAGGTAATTGTTTTTTCTTTTGAAGATGTTTTGCTTCTCATCCAAGAAGCTTCTTCAGCTCTGACAGGATAGTACAGAATGGATGAGATGAGCTTCTTGGATGAGCACTTAAACGTCATCAAAAGGAAAACAAGTAAGTCGTTACCTCCTGAAAAAGCACATTTGGGACCACCGTGACCTGAAAGACTGAGAATCTCTACAGTTGAATAAGTAGACTAGACTAGGCTACCTTAGGCTAGACTAGACTAGAAAGGAATAGGAATAAGAATAGAACAGAACAGCATAGAACAGAAGTGGAAGGGGGTTGGAAGGGACTTTGGAGGTCTTCTAGTCCAACACCCTGCTTAGGCAGGAAACCTTATACCATTTGAGACAAATGGTTATCCAATATCTTCTTTAAAATTTCCAGTGTTGGAAAATTTACAATTTCTGGAGGAAAGTTGTTCCACTGCGGAGGTGGGCTGCTGCCAGTTTGGACCAGTTCACCAGTACCAGTAGTTCCAATCACTGGCTGGGCCCACCACCCTGCCCTGGTGATATCCCATCCTATATATCTCACTTTCTGGCTCGCTGGCCCCGCCTATGCAGCGCAGCTAATTTCCGCACCGTGCCCGCTCAACTCTTTGAGGCTGCCCGAGGTTTGCTGGAAGCCATGTGCATTAAATCGCTGTGTGTTTGATGCCGTGTGCAAGCATGGAAGGTGTGTGTGAGAGAGAAGCGCACATGCTCACTTTTTCGGTTCTGCACTAGGCAAATCAGTTGTTAAATTATGTGAAGCCCACCTCTCTTCCACGGATTAATTGTTCTAACTGTCAGTAAAAAACAAATGTCTCACTTAGGAACAGAAATGTTGGGCTCCATTGTGGTTGTAACTTGAGAACTACCTATAATTAGCACATCTAATCACTCTGACATGGAAATGATCTCATATCTGTCATAGAACTCCTCTATTGCCATTATTGGGTAAGAAATGGATGACTTTTTCAGGGGATTTTGCAGGGAATGGTGAATACACAGCCAAGAGGACGATGGCATAAACATGCAGATTAAAAGCACATCCTGATGTGGGTAAAAAGGGGCCGGGGCTTTGATTGCATGGCAGTGGCTGCCATCATGACTTTTTTAATGCTTTGCCTACTGGCAGTCCTGAAGCATAAACCCCTGAAGCATAAACCTCAAATCTCTACTTCCTCCTGAGTTAAACATCTCACAGGTTCCTTGCTATCAAGTCTTGCTATTTTGAAAACGCATTGTCCCTAGCCAGCCAGCTTCTAACTTACAATTCTGTGTAAAGTGGGTATCTTTTCTCACCAATTCAGTCCCATAAAAATAATTTTTGCATTGAACAAAAATCTGCCAGGTTGGGCAAGGAATCCTGCTTTGGGAGGGTGCCATAATTTTAAATCATAGTGAATCTAAGTGCAATCTTCTTTCTGTCTCTCCACTCTGTATCCACAGAGGACTTGTGCCCTGCAACTACTTGGAATTTCTCCAATTCAAAAAGATGCAGTTATTGCTCAAGCTTTCCTTTGGGGACACAATTAAATCCACTCCACTGGGTTGTGGAAAAAAACTTGGAAAAGACAAGGCTTGAGGCATGAATCATAAAGAATATCTTGGGGGAAAGGGCTCCAAACCCTCTGCTTCAGTTGCCAAATTGTAGAAATTGCCTCTCTCTTGAATAAAGTTTATAAATTGGTTCATATGTAAAGGGAGAGATTAGCAACTGCAGGAATTTCATTCTCATTGCCTGGGTTTCTTAACCTTTCTACTACCGGTATCCTTATATACTGTACACAGTATATATGTATTTGAACAATATTTTTGAGCTATGGGGGAAAAAAGCAGGAGCAAATTGCTAGTTCTTAGGACTGCAGAATCAGCCGGTGCATTGCAGATATGCAGGGAAAAACTGGTGGCCATGTCAGTCCACAAAGCCAAAGAATGCTTAAAAGGAAAAAGTGTTTTCTTTTCACATTTTTCATGGTTTTTGTGGCAGAAACATCTGGCAGGCAACAATTTTTTTATATAATATATAATGATATAAGGGGGAGCGCTGTAAGAAGTTGTTGGCAACTTGGAAAAAGCATGCACCAGCAGAAATACACTGGGATTATAGTTGTTATTTTAATTGCAACTGCTTTACATCATTTGCATCTGAAAGCAGCTCATTCATAAGCCACAAAATACATCAGCTCTTCAATCCACAGAGTACTACATTCATCCTTTACTGAAACTGTGAAAAACTAAAATGATATTATTGGTTTATTATGTGTGTGCATATGCATAGGAATTCACATATAAAAACGTTTTGTTCTTTTCTTCTCCTGTCTTCCTTATTTTTTTGTTAAGTAATGCCTCCCCAAATTGAAAAAATAACTGTAATTGTAATTAATTCAAGAGGAAATTGCCAAGAAGTTACTTCAGGAATCTTTCATTAAAATAATTAAATCATATAAGTACAATGTGTAATCTTTCTGCAACATAGTGCCATCAAAACATTTTGGACTATAACTCATATGAGTTAAAATTAGTTATAATGACACACAAAAAGTGACTTACAACTGATCCTCACACTTACAACCATTGCAGCATTGTCTATCAAAATTTAGGCCCTTGGCAAGCAGGTTGGATTTTACTATAATTGCAGCTTCCCAGGATCATGTGGTCATCATCTGTGATCTTCCTCAACAGCAAAGTCAATGGGGGAAGTCAGATTCACTTAATGATTGTGAGAGTCACTTAATAACTGAACTGATTTGCTTAACAACCATGACAAAAAGGTCATAAAATCAGGCACAAGTCACAACCATCTTGCTTAGTAAAGGAAACTCTGGTCCCAACTATGGTTGTAAGTTGAGGACTATCTATACATCTATTTCACCACTGTATTCAGCTATCAACACACATAATTAATTGTATTTTTCATCCTTTTAATTGTGATCCAAGTCTTTAATTCACCTTAGAAACTCTTATGATCTGTTGGCAACTAAACTGATTTTGACCAAAGATGTACTTTGCTTTATATGCTGAAAAAGTATTCAATATAAAATTAATCTATTTTCTCTCTTTTTTTTTAATGTTTAAACTTTAGGCAAATGTTTCATGAAAACAAGAAATGCATATTTTCAGTTTTACAATGTCAGGGAATTGCTAAGCAAGTGTCCAAATAAAATCAGAGACGCTGACACAAGCTTGTCTTTTTATATAAATAAATATATTAATGTCTATATTTACAGCAGACAAGATAGTCAGGAAAACACACTAACATCATGAGGTAAATCATGAACAGCATACACAACACACAGAAGAAAAAGGCGGGGGAAAAGGGAACTCCCCTTTACACCCACAGCAACCAATCATAGTATAGATTACCTCATGCAAGATTCTGCACTCTCTGACCAATCATCTACAAGTGTCTGTGCTAGCCCATTATACACTTTACTGTCCCAGCTACTAAATTTAAATATCCTAACAAACGGTCATTGCATTGACAGTTTAAATAATGTTTAAATAATGACAAGTTATTTTCTCAACCACAGTTCTTTGCTTCAACCTTCACTGCATCTAAATTGTAATCTGAATTTTGATACAAAAATATTTCCTATCATGAAGCATTCATTAAAATGCAGCAAAAGCACATTACGTACAAAAACTTAAATGGTCTTATAAAGATAAAACCTAATCAAGTTATTGTCTAATATGAAACATTCCTTCATCCTTTTCAATTAAAACATGTTTGTAATCCTGTGCATTGTTTTAATTTATCATCTTACATTTGATGTTTGAAAGCTTGGATCATGAATATTTGGCAAAGATGTATACCAACATTTATTTAGCATGAAAGACGTACAAAAATAGTACGTTGTGGTGTAGGTAATTAAATTATTAATAGTAACCAGGGCAGCAATTCTGTGGTCTCTGAGAAAGAGATTTTATTTCAGAGGAGAAATTTGATGTCAGAAACAGTCTCCAGTACTGTCCAAAAGAAAGGTCTGAGTATGGCTGTTTCTGAAACTGGACAGGCGAAAGGAATTACTCTGAAAAAGGATTACAAGGGGAGATTTATGATAGTTTATATGAGATGGCAAAACATTTCCACAGATAAAGTATAGTTCCTGGGAGGATTTTCTTAAATTCATGGCAATTTTCAAGTTTCATTGCTAGAACTATTTTATATAGCCAGTATTTGGAAAGAAAACAAAAAATTAATGTCCTTTTTTGGACTAGGTTTTGTTTTATTGTTTAAGTACCTAAAGTGGAAGAAATATTGAGAGATTTATGAGAAATGAATTTTGTTTGAGATGATTTGAAGAGAGGGAGGAGGAGGAATATAGTAAATTAATCCTTGATTTGAACTGTCCAACTGTCCATTGCCAAGTGATACCAACAATCAATCAAAAAGAATAGAGCTGGAAGGGACCTTGGAGGTCTTCTAGTCAACCCCCTGCCAAAGCAGGAGATTGGTGGCTGTCCAATCTTTTCTTAAAAGCCTTCAGTGATGAAACATTTACAACTTCTGAAGGTAACCTGTTTCACTGGTTAATTGTAATATAAGTGATTTTAAGACCTTTTTTTTACCCCCATTGACTTTGCTTGCCAGAAGCCCCTTTGGTAAGCACAAATAATAATCATGTGGCTCAGAATGCTACAACCATCATAAATACATGCCAATTGTGAAGCACCTAAATTTTGAACACATGACCATGGAGATGTGACCGCAGACATGTGATAGTTGGAAGTGCTAGGACCCATTGTAAGTCACTTTTTTCAGTGCCATCATAATTTTGAACAGTCATTAAACAAATGGTCGAGGATTGCCTGTGGTATACCTTAATGACAAATGAGTTAAATGCTTTCTTTCTTTTCAGAAGCTAACTGTTCTTATTTCAAATTCTTCACCACTGGGGAGAATGCCAACATCTTCCTAAGGACTACAAAAAAGGGTAAGTCCATCGCAGGTGTTCAGGTTGAAATGTTGTATGACAGGAAGAAAAAAGGAGCTACATGTGACAGTCATCCCATACGTTTGAAACTAGAAAGCTTTTGGTTCATATGCTGATTCAAGAAGGTTTGGAGAGGGACTACCTGAATTGATGAGAGGGCTTCACTACAGTTGTTCTCAAACCTGCCATTAAGGACAAAGCACAACATTTCTGTTGTTCTAAGGGGTCTCTCTTGTTGAATCGTCTGTTTATTATTCAATAATAATGCTGAATAGAAGGAGAAAGAGGTGAGCCATTTGTCCATCTTGAGAAGCATCCCTCTAAACCAGTGTTTCTCAATCTAAGTAAATTTAAGATATATGGACTTCAATGCCCAGAATTCCCCAGCTAGCATGGACTGATTGGGGATTTCTGGGTATTGAAGTGCATACATCTTAAAGTTGCTGAGTGAGAAACCCTGCTTTAAATGATTGACACAATTCTAACCTGTTGCTCTAATGTGGGTTGAACATGTAGCATTCTCCCATTCAAACCAGATTTTGAAAAAGAGCTAACATTTACATTTTCTGAGCCTGCAATTGGAGACTGGATGAAAGTTGTCCTGATCAACTAGATCCAAGGAGAGTCTCTTGAAGAAGAGGCACACTCCTATCTTTTTTCAAAGCCAGTGGAACCATCTCACTTCTCAAAGACACATTTATCCCTGCACATGCTCCATCTCCAGAGGTCTCAATCAATCAGGAAGAGCATCAATTTAATACACAGTTGGCCACACCCACAACTCCAAGGATGTTGTTCATTTTCTCAGTACTAACACACTCAAACTTATCCCTGATAACATCAGAAGACTGCTTCAGCCACCTATTCAGGACTTGTCTAGCTGAAGGCCAACTCATAGTGAATCTGAGCAATGTTGTCCACCGGGTGACTTGAATAGCACTCATAGGGGTTTTACAGATGCTCCAATGTCTAGAAGGGTCTAGATTGCCCTGCACAGGGATATTGGCCAATATGTAGAAGAGAAGGATGGAGAAATAAACCTTTTTTTGCCACCCTTAGCACTACATCATAGGCTCTAACAAAAGCTTTTATCTATGTCTGGCTAGATTCATTCTTAGTTTTCTCCCAGGCAAATCTAGGTGTCTCTTCTGTGCTTTATCCTCTTTATCTACAAGCCACAACAAATATCTATAGAGAATCTCAATAATCCAGGTCATCGATGTCCCAAAGGTGCTTTTTTCAAAAGGCAACTGGACTTTCTTGAAGTCCAGTTGTCTTTTAGGAAAGAGAGAAAGTGCAAGAAAATCCAATTATCTTCTGGAAAAGCACCTTTGGGAAATGACACAACATGACAAAGGTCAGCATGCATACTTGCAATCCAACCTAAAATTTTGTTTGTTTGTATTTCGTATTTCTCAACTGCCCATCTCCCTCAGAGATTTTACTACTACACCTCATTCCAAATGGTAACTGAAGCATCAATGAAAATGTTAATCAAAATCTCAGGAAAAAACATAAACTTCCTCTCAAACCCTTTAAGTCCATGGGATGAGCTGATTAAAGAGTCTCGGCCTCCCTGCTGAGGAAGGATGCTATGGAAAACTTCAAAGTGAAAAGGGACAGGTGGCAACATCCTGATCATGTAGTCACTGCCAAAAGAAAAGGCCAGATCCAATTTGTGTCCACCACCACCCCTTGGTCAGACCTATGATTTGCTAGGTTTGGCTCATGGTTCTGATTGTGATAAATTATGGCACTACTTTCAAGTCTTTTTCCATAAATTCCCACTATCTATTTTAGTGGACTATCTTGAGGCTAGAGGCTAAAACATTAAGAACCGTTGCAGGAATTGGGTATATCTAGTCTGCGGAAAAGTAAGGACAACATGATAACAGTTTCCCAATATCTCAGGGAAATAAAGAAAAGGGGGTCAACCACTTTCCAAAGCACCAGAAGGCAAGATAAGAAGCAGTGGATGGAAACTAATCAAGGAGAGAAGCAATTTAGGACTAAGGATAAATTTCCTGACAGATAGAACAACAGTAAGGGGAAAGACTTGTCAGAAGTAGTGGGTGCTTCATCACTGGAGGCTTTTAAGAAAAGACTGGATAGCCACTTCTGTGAAATGATATAGGGTCTCCTGCTTGAGCAGTGGGTTGGATTAGAAGACCTCGAAGATGCCCTCCAACTCTGTTATTATGTTTCTGGATTAAATTCTTAAACTATGCAACAACCTCTTTGGGGAATAAATATTTTTATGCTTTTCAGGTTCTGCAGCTCCTGCTTCCAACTTGGCTTCATCTAAATTTCTTGTTGCAGTCATCCTAAATGCCCTCCAGATGTGTTGGAATAAACCCATAATTCTTGGACTGTCATCCATGTTGGCTGGGGACTATGGAAATTGAAGTCCAAATCATTTGGAAAGCATAAAAAAGCAAAGGCCCTGATAATTACAGCTAATCAGAAAATGAACTGGTGTTTAATGTTTGCAAAGATAAAATTGGTGATGCTCCTATGCACAAATGTAGTAACACCTTATAATCTTAGAGTGCAAGGAGGTTAAATTGTGAATTTTTAACTGAGGATCTTTAATATTGTCCTCTGCCCAGAGTCACTGCGTGTGAATTGATTGGCTATATGCATTTGTTTAGTAAATAAATAGCTCTCCTCCAGTGGTGGTATTCAGCTGCTTCGGACCAGTTCAGGCAAACTGGTAGTGGTGACCTGCAGTGCCGACCACCTGCCCCAGTCCTATGCCGTCCTATTTAGCCACGTTTCCTAAGCCGCGTGCATGTGTGCACATTTTCAGTGTGTGGCGAACCGGTGGTAAAATTATGTGAAACATTGAATTGATAATGGCAGAGTCACAATTCAATAAGCCTGTTACAAATTATGTTGAAATCAATTTCTGCCACCTTTCATGGTTTAAATTTAAAAACTCCACCACCCAATAAATCTGGGCATTCTTTCAGTCATTATACTTTTGAAAAATCTCAAACAGTTAATCACTGCAGCTTTCCTTTAGGGCTGCAACTGCAGCTTTCAATCAAAAAAGATCTTTAAATGATCATGAAAAATGCTCCCAGGGTACTATTCAAAAGATCTGAAATTACGCTGAAGGTTGCTGGGACTGAGAAGAAATAGCTCTTCATCTTTTGGAGAATATGATTATATCCCCAAAAGACAGATAGATAGATGGATGATAGACAGATGAGACAGATTAGATTAGAGGGAGGACAGGCAGGCAAGCAAGCCAGCAGGCAGATAGTGGGGGGACGCGATGGCTCAATGGATAAAGATGCTGGAAAGCTGGCAGTCTGGTTTGAGATCAAAGTGCTGTGCAACAGGGTGAGCGCCCGTTACTTTCACCAGCTCTTGCCAACCTAACAGTTTAAAAGCATGCAAATGCAAGTAGATAAATAAGTATCACTTCAATGAGAAGGTAACAGCATTCCATTCACCTTGGCATATAGATATGCTGGTCACATGACCATGGAAGTATGTTTGGACAATGTTGGCTCCCTCACCTAAGAAACAAAGGCGGGCACCCCCCCCCAAAAGTCAGACGTAACTAGACAGAGGAAACCTTTACCTAGATAGATAGATGATAGATGGAGAGGTGAGGGGGAGAGAGGGAGGGAGGATGGATGGGTGGATGGATGGGTGGGTGGGCGGACGGGCGGGCGGACGGGCAGGCAGGCAGGCAGGCAGGCAGGCAGGCAGAAAGACAAAGAGGATAGAGTGTATTTGCTGGTATGTGACCTGTGTCTCCACTGCTTTCTCTCTTCCATTATCATTGGTATTACCGTAAGTGTATGTCTTTCTTTGCTACACCCAGTGATTGCTCACATTGTAGCTCTGAGCATCATATTTATGCATGATAATCAAGCCAATGTGTATTGTTCTAAAATGGCCTTCACCAGCTTGCTATCTCCAATTATGCCTGGCTGTGGCCATGCTAACAGAAATTATGACTTGGTGGTCAACATGTAAAGAAGGAAACAGTTTCTCTAGATCAGTGTTTCTCAACCTTGGTAACTTTAAAATGTGTGAACTTCAACTCCCAGAATTCTGCTAATTGAAATCTTTAGGGCTGTGACTGCATTTTAAAAGTTCTCAAGGTTAAGAAACATTGGTCTAGATATTGATGATTTCTTGATGGCCACATGAGAGTTAGGGCACAAGTTATCCTGCCAGTATGCCCCTGTTTTCCTCTGTGAAATGTTGGGTGGAACGAAATGACTTTTTCTCCCCTGCTTGGTAACACTGCATAGAACTGAACATCACGGCAGCCGTTGTGTCCCTCCTCAGCATCACCTTGATGGCCATGGGATCCCTCTGTATCACAATGGCCCTGAGCAAAGGAGTCGATTTCCTCCTGAAGCCAGCATCATGCTTCTTTGTAATATCAGGTATGGATTCTGGAGAATCTTCTTTTTCTGTCCTGAAATATGTAGGGAGGAATGGGAGATGTTCTTTTAACCATGATATTCCTTAAAACAGTGGTATCCAATCTTGATAATTCTAAGACCTGTGGACTTCAACTCTCAAAGTTCCCCAGCAAGCATGGCTGGCTGAGGAATTCTGGGAGTTGAAATCCACATGTCTTAAAGTTACCAAGGTTGGACATTCCTGCCTTAAAACATAAGGATAAATAAAAGGAGCCGCACAATGCTCTTCTAAGTGGTCCAGCTCAATCCAGTGTCCCTCTCTATACTGCTTGTTTGTGGCCTTGGTTCACAGCTGGAAATATCTCAAGGATAACATCCCACACCAGTGATTTTTCAAACTTGTCAACTTAGGACATGTGGACTTCAATTTCCAGAATGTCTTGGGAAAATCTTGGAGACGAAGTCCACATATCTTAAAGATGCCACATTTGAAAAATATTACCCCTTTTAGGCACAAGGAATCAGGAGCTTTCATAAAGCTGTATCATGGAAGATTTATTCAAAATATAGACAAAAATCTAGTCAACAAATGATCAACACTAAATTGGCACTACATACGGGTCAATGGAATTCAGGTGGGGGGCTGGAATTTCTTGTGACAACACAAGGACTCTAACCAGATGACACATTTAACTCTGCTCTCCTACTTTGTCTGCTCTTCTACACTTCTCTTTTGTTTCCCTTCCAGGATTGATGGTGTTGGTGACTTTGGAGATTTTCCGACAATCAGTCAGGTGGCTGATCACCTCCAATGACATCATCCCACTAGAATACGAGTATTCCTGGTCTGTGGCTTGTGCAGTGTCTGCAGGGGCAATTCTGATATTTGGGGGAGCTTGCTTCATCCTCTTGTCTATCCCAGGTTTGCCCAAAAAGCCTTGGGAATATTGCATCAGAAAGAGAAGCACCAGTGACCATACTTCCTAATGTTGGAGGAAAAGTCTCTCTAACTTTCACTCTGCAACCTTTACACACAGAGGCGGAAAGAATCAATCTTTTCCATTCTACCCCCTGCCCTATTTCTCCAGATATTGGACACACTTTCCTTTCCTATTTTGTGACTTGTAAATAGAACCAGTTGTGCTTGTCTTGTTTTAATTTGGGGTGGGGAAGCAAGGGAGGGGGACTGCAAAAAAAGGGCTCTGTTGATGAACAAGTGAAAGCTGTGTAAGTGAACTGAGACACTAACAAATCGAGGGAGGATGAAGGCCTGTATTTAAAACCCAGTTTTCATAAATAGTTATTTTTAACTCAATAAGAGGACTTGTGTCTTGAAAGTCTTTTAAATTCACAGTGAGGTCAGACAACAAAATCTCATGTCAATTTCCCATCTTAGCCGAGTTCCACCCAGAACAAAAATTACAATTCATCTGTTGGAAAATTGAAAAAGCGTGAAAATGAAAAGAACAAAAGAATCTTGCAATATGGCTTGCATGTTTTCTTTTGCATGCCCTACGGATTCACCCAAAAATATGGTCTCTAGCTAGGTCCTTTGAGAATGATAGGGAGACACTGAAGTTACCAATCTAACTTTCCAAACCACAGGTGAATTCTTAGCCTATCATTTGGGGAACCTGAAAAGGATTCACAGGACTTTTGTTCAGATGAATTTCCATCCAGCATCCTGTCAGATTAATTAGCCAAAATCTACAACAGTGAAATCAATGGACAGGCAGAATTCTCAAAGATCATTCTTTTCCTCCCCCCTCAGTTAAGTATCTTATATTAAAATATATATATATATCTTGAAACTTTTCCAGTGAATAATGCTTCTAGAAGCAGAGTCCAGCTGATAAGCTGACATGAATTGAAGCTCTCAGCTCAGAGAAGGCACATAAAGACAGTGGAGGGAAGCCACTTATAGCAGGAACTTTCTTGATTTAAGAGTAACTTCTGAAGGGAAGTGGAGAGAAAGTTGCAAACAACTACAGATTTACAACATGAATTTATATGTTGATGCCTAACCAGAATCCTTTGTCTGCTCTGGACACCCTAGCCACTCTCCAGTGACAATGTTTATCTTCTTGATACAATGGTTGTTTAAAGCACTTGGAGGCAGTTATGTGAGCTGGGGAATTCTGGAAGTTGAAATCCACACTGCTGAAAATTGCTGAACTTGAGAAAGACTGTTTTAAAACACCCATGACAACGGTGTAGAAATGAGCCACTAAGAAAATTCTATTGGACTTTGCCATTTTGTGCTGATTTTCCTCAAAATCCAAATATTGCCCTTGGATTGATAAGGATTAATGCAACAATGCATCTTGGAAAGGACAGCAAACCAAGTTGCTTTGATAAAGAAAGGCAGAGTTTTTCAGCCATACTGGCTGGGGAATTTTGGCAGTTGAAGTACAGCCATCTTAAAGTTGCCAAGGTTGAGAAACACTGAAATAGGAAATAAAGATGCATGGATGATGTTTCTCTTCACTGCCTCAATTTGTTCCGAAGATAACCTCTGTTTTTATGGAGACAGGAAGGACCATTCCCATTTCTTTTATCCTGCTTTGCTTTGCTGTATTTGGGAAATGGGGGAGGGGGGTGACAAAATTATTTGGGGGGGGCAGGAAATCATGCCTTTTTGTTTCCCAGAGCCTGCTCTGTTTTTTGGAAAACTAAATAAATGTTTGAAGGACACCATCATAGTGGATGGTATTTTTGGTAAATTTGTGTAAATCACGCTCTTTTATGGGTGGTGCAGAATCAATAAAATGATTCTACAGAATAATTCATGGGGATAGGCCAATGGTGGCAAACCTTTTCGGCACTGAGTGTCCAAACTAAATCATGCACGCATGCACGTGCATGTGTGCGCTGGAAACCCGAAGACCAGCTGGCCGGTGCACATGTGTGGGTGCGCCGGCCAGATGGTGTTTGCGTGCACCAGAGCACTGAAAACCCGAAGACCAGCTGGCTGGCGCACATGTGTGTGCCAGAAACCAAAAGAGCAGCTGGCAATGGCATGTGTGCCACCTCTGGCACACGTGCCATAGTTTCGCCAAAAGGGGGATAAGCCATTTCTTTGAAATAATTTATTTTTTCTTGAATTGCTAGACCAGATTACATCAAATTTTCCCATAATTTCTTTTACCATATATTAAACTTCTTTGATGGGACAATATTAACTGTGAATTAATTTGGAACTGTATTCTGGGCCACAACTGGAAGCCATTCAATATTCAGCTATGGTCATGTGTCTGCAAGGTACGGTCAAAGAGAAGAACAGCAATGGTGCAATTTAAGCTCTGCTTTTCTTAAAAAAGAGAGAGGAATTTCAGTCATAACATTGGAGCAACAGCTTGGCTTTGTATTTATCACCACATAATCAGCCAGATATTTAGGCTGGATTTGACATGTTTATTCACCTATCAAGTCCCTCCCAAGGGCTTGATATAGGTAGATACGAAGGTATTAAAGGTATCATCACAAAATATAAACTGTTCCATATAAAGCTGCCTTTTGCAATTGACTGACAGCAATTTTGTCAAAGACGATGGTGTTCAGATGTTATATCAGTGGTGGGTTCCTTCTGGTTCGACCGGTTGGGCTGAACCGGGAGTGGTTCAGCAGCCTGGGTTGCTGGAACCAGCAGCGACCCAGGCCTGCCACGCCCCCAACCAGTTTTGCAGGTACTGCTATAGGCACCCCGCCATCTTGTTTTTTGCTTTTGTGCATTCACAGAACTATTCGTATTGCACTGCGCAGGATCGCACAGCGCACATCAAGCAAGTGCACAGTGTGCATCAAGCGCGCACATAAGCAAACCGGCAATAGTGCCCGCAGGAACCCACCCCTGTGGTATATTATTATTATAGTATACCTAATATAATATGCTAGCTAGCATTCCTGCATACTTTCCATCGCATATTAATTTAGATGATGCAGACTTTTAAAAGTCAGTTTTGAATCTATTTGTTGTATCTCCAAGTCATTATAAGACAATTTAAACCAATAGACGTGAAATATAATGCAAACAAACCCTTTTAAGAGATTTTTCTTCATTATTTAAGGCTGAGGCCTAGCAAGGGCCCAGAGATTGGGGCGTGAAAAGCAGAGGTCTGTAGTCTTGTGAGATTACAGAAGAAAGGGAAGATGACAAGGGACAAAATTACATGTGGGTTTTCTCCATCTGGCCTTACGCAAGATGCAAGGAGCTCAGCTTCTATTCCTCCTTGTCAGCATCTCAGCCCTAGGACAGGGCGTCCCACGGCTAGGTCCTCCAGCAACGCGTACCACTCTCTCAGTTATTCTCGTTCTGTTCTGGGCCTCTCCAGTTACATGCTGGGATGTAAACAGTGCCCTGGTCTCTCTTTCTCTCTTTTTTTTTGGTCTCTGCAGAGTTTTGCCAGCAAGGAAACAACTTGTCACAAAAAGACAAGCACAAAGTCCTGCTTCTAAGCAACCACCAGCTTTCCCTTTAACCTGGATTCCCCTACAACGGGGGGCTTGAGCGGGCTTTCCCCAGAGACGGTTTCCCCTTGCTTTTTAAGGATGTAGCGATGTGAAATCATCCACCTTCTTATTCAGGTTTAAAGATACAGTAAACTGGTCTGTGTACATCAGATTTTTTAAAATTGCAGCTGTAAGGCTACTGCCTTGAAGCTACAATAAGCCAGTGGCTAAACAACATTTCTTCCAGCTGGCTAAACAGAGCAATGCCAAAATGGGTGCCCCTTTCCCCAGCCTGGCTTCACACCCAGTTATTTTGCAGCAGAAAAGCAACAACAAGTTTTTTTTTTTAAAGCAGGTCGCTATTTGTAAAGCTGCTCGAAAACCCAATGCTGGAGGACAATGGCAGCTTAGCAGCCTTGGGGATGGAGGGAGGGAGGGAGGGAGGGAGCCCAAGAGTGGGGGAGGGGGACTGGCAGGGGTCCAAAGGCGCTCCGATGGTGCAAAAATGAAATTTTGCTATTGGAGCTGCAGTGCAGCTGAGCTGAGGCAAATCAATTCAGCTGCTTCACATCCGTGACGGTATGGGGTTAAGGGGGTGTGGCGCCATGCTGGGAGCGGTGCCAGTTCTCAGTGTGAAACTAGAACAACCCATCCAAACAATTAGAAACAGGGCTACTAATTTAGTGCAAATCCTTGTGCATTTGACCACAGTTTGACATGCAAAAATCAGGAAGTGGGGGAGATTAAAGCAGGGAGAAATGTATTGGTAGATTGATCAGTGGCTAAACAGCCTAACAGCTTTCAAAGAGGCTGCTTTGTAGCTGATAAGTTTAATTTTGGATCACTATCTGTTTCTTTCTACCAGTTTATCAAAGGCCGCACGTAGATATAATCTGGGTGGGATCAAGTTCTTTCTGCCAGATGACATTTCTTTCATCTCATCTCTAACCCATGCCTGAGACAGGTATCCTTCAGCCATCCTTAGCAGATTGGGTGTTAAAATAGCCTTTCCCACAATCAAACAAGCCATAAGCTATAACTGTTTTGCTTTGGATGAAATTTAATGCACTTCGCTAAACATCTCATCACTTTCAGTCAGGTGACGTCTGTGGCCATGGGATCAGCCCACTTACACAGTAATCTTATGACTTATTACCGCAATTGGGACCATCATTTCTGCAGCTAAGTGTGGCAGTTGTTAAGTGAGTCACACCGAAGGGGTTTTTTTTTTTGCCACAGTTCTTATAAATCTCTGCAATTGTTAAATGAATCATGCAGTTAAAATGAATCCAGCTTCTTCCTTTGACTTTGTTTGTTAGAAGCCACCTGGGAAAATTGCAAATGGTGATCACATGACCTCTGGAAGATGCTACAACTATCATAAATACATGCTGGTTAATACCTAAATTTTGTTCACTTTTATTAGTGCTGTGGTATTTATGAACAATCACTAAAAAAATTGTTGTAAGTCGAGGACTACCTGTATTAGCCATCAGGCTGGTGACAGCCTATTCTCATCACTTCCTGCACCATTTTTCTTTGCACATGGGGAGAATCCATTATTTCAATCCAAAACTGTGGGGAGTGGGGTGGAGTAGGAGTGTGAGGGAGAGGTTTCTTTATCCCAGGCTCATAAGGTTGTTAAATTGCCCCATATATTATAGTTAACATGTCACATTTTTCCTGCACTGCCTGGAAAATCTGGGTTATTCAGGTGGAGTAAGAAGGAAAATGTGAAGAGCGGAGAGACTTTCATTCACATCTTCAAACCAAATGTCGAAACTTGAAAACTCCGACTTAAGCACCCAGTGAGCATCTTCATTTCTATTTATTTCTTGTGGTTTATGGATTGCAACTTGGGGAAATTTGTCCCATGCTATTGCATGTATTTATGACTCTGGACAGAAAATTGTGTAGCATCTAGCCAGTTTTTATCAGAAATGTGTCCAGAGAATTTAGGATTGCAATTGACGTCTATTAATTAATAAACTCTTTGTTTGAATTAGATGTGTATCCTATCAACAATATTAAAAAGAGTGGGGGTAGAATTTAAATAAAGAAAATGATTCTTTCCAAGCATTCATACCTGGAGTTTTTTCTCTTTCTCTCTTCAATTCTTTGAGTTAAACAAGGACCAAATTTTCAGGCCTCTTTTTACTGAACAAATCTTTGTAATTGTTTAAATCAGATATGTATCCCACCAACAGTATTAAAAAGAGTGGGGATGGGAGTTAAATAAAGGAAATGGTTCCTTTCAAGCGCTCAGAGCTTTTTCTCTCTTCAAATCTTTGAGTTAAGTAACAAGGACCAAATTTCCAGACCTTTTATTATTAAGCAACATTACCCAGCTTAATATGGAAGGTGTCAACTTCGAACAGAACCTGGCCACAGCCACACAAAGGGGGAAGTGGGGGAAGGAGGTTGGAATGCATTGCTAGACGTAACAAAGAGCTTTCTCATGAGAACCAAGGTCATCTCTACTGGCAATCAATAAGGTTGGGGAAGAAGTGCCTGCAGAACCCACCAATTAACCCAATTGGCAAACGTGACCTGTGACACTTGAGGATGGGGTTATTTCCTAGTTTAATTATACTGAAACTGCGGGAAAGATTTAGATTTGGTTTTCCATTGAAGCTGTGCTGATATGATGTACTCATTGAAGAAGAGCATTGAGAAGAAGCCAAGTCTCAAGGTCCTCATTAGCCAGAGCTAATGACAGAAAGCAGAATCCCGAAGTCCATTTTTGGCTGGGACGGTCTCCTGAAACCCTCTGCCAGCAAAAATGGAGCCCGGGATCAGTGGTGGGTTCCGATCGGTTTGGACCCATTTGTCCGAACCAGTAGTGGTTTGGTGGCCTGGGCTGCTGGAACCAATCCAGGCCTGCCCTGCCCCTGAACTGGTTCTCCTGGCGGCACCATAGGTGCCATCATAGGCACCGCCATCTTGTTTTTCATTTCTGCACATGTGCAGAACAATTTTATTGTACTGTACATGCACGTGCAGTGCTCATCAAGTGGGGAAAAACTTTGGATACTTAATCGGAAACTAAAGAAAATCTTTATAAGATGTTCTACAGATGGCATCTCCCCCCAGCACGGCTCTCCAAAATGTTTAAAAATCTGGCCCCAAATTGTTGGAAGTGTAAAAAAATACCAGGCACATTTTATCATACATGGTGGGAATGCAATGAGGCAAAAAATATTGGAAAATGATTCAATCATGGTTAGAACAAATGGTGGGAGACCAAATTTTGTTTAAACCAGAAATTTTTTCCTAGGCCTAATACCAGAGGGGTTTAAGAAAAATGTACCCTATCTAATTATACATGTACTAACTGCGGTGCGCATAACTTTTGCGCTGTATTGGAAAAAACAAAATACACCATCAGAGCTAGATATAATCAGAAAAGTGTTGGCCTGTGCGGAAGCAAATAGGCCCACTCTTGAACTTAAAAATAAAAGGGAATCAGAATATTTTGAAGTCTGGAATAGATTTTATGATTGGTATAAGACAAG